CAGATAGTGCTCTTAACCACTCTCTCCAGCAACTACATTATTTCTTTTAAGAAACTATGTTTGGACCAAGAAAAAAAAAATGTATGTTTGGGGCTGGAGAGATGGCTCAGCAGTTAAGGGTGCTGACTACTCTTTCAGAGGACTTGGTTTCAATTTCTAGCTCACAACTGTCTGTAAATCCAGCTTCAGGGAACTGGACACCCATGAAAAACACCAATACACATAAAATAAAAACAAGTAAATTTTTTTGAAAAAGAAAAGAAGCTTGAGCCAGGCAATGGTGGCACATGGCTTTAATCCCTGCACTCAGGAGGCAGTAGTAGGTGGATCTCTGTGAGTTCGAGGCCAGCTGGTCTACAGGGAATTCTAAGAGAGCTAGGGCTACACAGAGAAACACTGTCTCCAAAAACAAAACCAAACAAAAAAAGAACAAAAGAAAGAAGAAAAAAAGAAAGACGGAAGGAGAGGGAGCAAGGGAGGGAGGGAGGCAGGCAGGCAGAATATGTTTGGTGGAATAGAGGCACTGGTGGCCAGCACTCAAAAAGCAGCTCAGACGTTAAAAGCATTGCCTGCTCTTCCAAAGGTCCTGAGTTCAATTCCCAGCAACCACATGGTGGCTCACAACCATCTGTAATGGGATCTGGTACCCTCTTCTGGCCTGCAGGCATACACACACACACAGAATATTGTATACATAATAAATAATTAATTTAAAAAAAAGCAGAGACTTAAGGTTCTCTGAGTTTGAGACCAGCTTGGTATATGGAGCGAATTCCAGGACAACTGGGAGGGAGGGGAGGGGAGAGGAGGGAAGGGGAGGGGAGGGGAGGGAGGGAGGAACATGGTTGAATAGCAAAGGAGAATTTAAATATATAAACCTCCTATCAGCTGCGTGCACACCTTTAATCCCTCCTGAGGCAGAAGGAGGCAGAGCTCTGCCTGGTACACAGAGCAAGTTCCAAGGAAGCCAGGGCTACACAGAGAAACCCTGTCCCATAAATGGATGGATGGATGGATGGATGGATGGATGGATGGACGGACGGACGGACGGACGGACGGATAAAAACAAAGAAAGAAAAAAATAAATAGAAGATACCTATTCAAAACAAAACAAAAACAGAAAATGACAGTTGCTAGTAATTTAACTGTCATTCACTGTTAGCAGAAACAATGTGGAAGTTCCTCAAAATATTAATAGCGCTAATATAATAAAAATTAAATAGACCCAGTCACTCTACTTCTGCGAAGAAACAAAAGCAGAGACTTCAGTCATTCATACGCTCAGGCTCACAGTATTATACATAATAAGCATCAGGTAAACACGGTTCCCACTGATGAATGGATAAACAAAACACTTTAATTTTTAATTATTTACCCTTAAAATGTAATCTGTGACATGTGCAATGCCACCATACTAATAAACCTCAAAAGCATTATGTGAACTAAAACAAAAGACATAAAAAAATCAGATTATATTATGATTCTATTGAAGACAACTGGAGTATTCAAATTTATAGTTTTATCTTTTAGATTAAAAAAAGTCCTGGCCAGGCATGGTGGTGCACAGCTTTAATTCCAGCACTGGGGAAATAGAGGCAAGTGGATCTCCTGTTCCAAGTTCCAAGACAGCCAGAGAAACCCTGTCTCGAAAAAAAAAACTAAATAATAAATTAATTCTTGAAACTGTCTGCGTAAAGTATATGGAACTTAAGCAAGTTCATGGAGAGGCCTCAAAGATTAATGACCCTGTGCACATTAAGATTTAAGAAACTGCCAAGAAAGGGTTGAAGACAGGGACTCCAACGGGTTTACTCCAGAGTCGTCTGGGCTGAATATGCAGTGAGTCTAACATGTAGTAAGGAGGAAGACTCGCAAACCAAGCCTGAGAGTTTATTTGCTGTAGCAGTTAGAATGAAAAGATGTCCTACATAGTGGCATGTATTTAAACACTTAGTCCCCAGTTGATAGGACTGTTTGAAAAGTTTACGGTAATTTCTGAACTTAGAACCTTGCTGGAGGAAGTAGTCAATACACCAGGCTTCTATAGCCTTCCCAGTTCCAGATCACTTCACTCTGCTTGCCAACGAAATGTGCTAAGTGGGCTGGCTGCTCTGATTGTCTGCTGCCATTGCTCCATGTCATTATGGACTCTTGCCTTCTGGAACCATAGATAAAATAAACACTTTCATTTCAATGTATACAACATATATGAAATTTTCAAAATAAAAAAGTATTAATTTTTTAAAGTAATATTAGCCAGGTGTGGTGGTGTGCCCTTAAATCCCAACACTCAGGAGGCAAAAGAAGATTTCTGACTTTCAGGTTAGCCTGGTGTTTCTAGTGAGAGCTCAACCTAATAAATAATAAGTAGACAGATAGAGATGGATGGACGAAGGACGGACGTGCGGGCAGATGGGCAGGCAGACAGACGGTATAATGCTAGCCAATGATACTTTGAAATAACTGTTAAAATACCACATAAAGCCAACTTAGTCAACCTTACAAACTATAGAAACTTTATCTTTGATAGCATTAACACATATTTTTATTGTTTTATATTAATCTTTAAAATCTAAATTTGTTAATGTGAAAAATTAAGTATCTGAAAAAAGTTTTGCATTCTATTCATTACTGCCACAAGTGCTGATTAAATTGTACTTCACTGAGCTTTTCAGCACTTCATATGTATAATTAATCTTATTTTAGGAAATCTCAAAGGCAAACAGAAATATGAAATTTCAAAATGTATTTATTAGCTTGGGGTCAGCAAGATAGCTCAGAAGGTAAAGGACCTTGCAGTGCAGGGTGGCAACCTATACCCAGATTGGAAAGGCAGAAAGAAAAGTTGTGCTCTCACCTCCAGGCATGCCCTGATACCCAAGCTCACACACCGCCTACACAGAGGAGTGAATTTCAAATAGTAGGAACTGGCCAGCCATGAGGCTCAAAGTTCAATCACCAGCAAGACAAAAAAGAAAGGTGAGAAAGAGGAAGAGGGAGGGAGAGAGGGAGGAACAAAAGGAGCCCGCAAGAGAGCTTCACAACCTTAATTTAATCCCATATTTAATCCTGAATTTAAGACCCATATGGTGGATGGAAAGGGCTCCTCAAAGCTGTCCTCTGTCTGCCACAGTGCACCAAGGCACACACATAAACACGTAGGTACAGACAGACAGACAATACAAATTTTAATGATACTGCTGAAAATGACCAGAGTAGAGCAGAGTGGGAGACTGAGGGGACAGGCCACTGGGATCATCCAGATAAAAGGTTAAGTGGACTATGAATCAAAGTGACAGTAGGGAAGTTGCTTGTGAGATTGCGGTTTATCAACTGCTTTGTGTGCACAGGGTTCACAACACCAGAAAAAAGAAAAACCAGGCCACTCCTTAATCTGAGCACTTCAAAGGCAGAAGTGTGAGTTCAAGGCCAGCCTGGTCTGCAAAGTTACTTCCTGGCTAGCCAATGGCACACAAGAAGTCCCAGACTCAAAGAAAACAATAACAAAAAAAAAAAAAAACCACTAAACCCAAGATCATACTGAGGCTTCCACCTAACCAACTGAACAAATTAAATGAGGAAGACTATGGAAAGAAGCAAAACGGTATATTTTTTATTTACTTATGTGTAGGGGCATGGTCTGTGTACCATGCTTAGTGCTCCCTACGCCAAAAGAGGGTGCTGGATTCCAACCTGAATTCTCTAGAGCAGTCCCAACGCAATTTTTTGTAAGTTAGTATTTCACTATGTAGTTCTGACTGAAGTGGAATTGTCTATGTAGACCAGATTGGCCTCTACCTAACAAAGAGCTGCCTGCCTCTGACTTTAAAAAGGTGTGCCTCACTAACTCACAGAACAGCCTATTTCAGATGGTTGGTTTTTAACAGACTTAAGATGTTCATTACCTAATTTAAGTACAGATAAGTAGGCATCAACATGGGCTTGGAGTGTAAGGAGAGTACTTATGTGCTGGCAAGATGGCTCAGTGAGCAGAGGCTCTTGACTTCAACACTCATCAAGTTTGATGGTAGAAAGAGGGTACCGACTACCAGAGGCTGTCCTCTGCCTCGCTCCATGCTCTACATTTTCAGATGTGCACATACATACACAAACATGTTTAAGTGTGAAAATAAATGTAAATACAAAAATAAGGATATCTGTAAACTGCCAGTTTGTAAATAGGAAAATATGAAATTAGAGTAGTTCATCAAGAATCTAAACTGATTCCTGCAGCATTCTCATGGCAAAGACCAGGGAGACACAAGCAGGTTATTAAGTGGAAACAGGGAAAAGAAAGCCAAAATGGACGTGATGTCCTGGAAGCAAAATAAAAAGAGAACATCTTCAATTACTCAAATATGCACCGATATCACTGAGACATGAAGTTATAAAATACTGTAAATAAACGTTACAGAAAAACAAAACCATGAGACCTTGACTTTTAAAATGCTGGCAAAAAGTCACAAGTCAAAGAGTGACTAGTTAAGTATAGTCTAAATCAAGAAACTTATACAAAAAGAAACCAAAGCAGGAATCCTACTCTGTTCTCAGTCAAACAATGCAAACTTCCCACAGACTAAATGTCACCACTCCAGCATGAGTGCTCTTAAACATCACTTTCTTTCCCTAACACACTATTTCTGTAAGATCAGTGCTCCATGTATTCTTACCAATGGCACTGCTTTCCTTTGTTTGGTGATATCACATTCTTTTATTTTCCCCCTTTCAAAGCAAGGTTTTACTATGTAGCCCAGACTAGCTTCAAACTTAACTATCATCCTGCCTGGGCCTCCCCAGTGCAGGAATCACAGCTGAATATTGCCTTACTCAATTTCATTTTATAGTTCTGGACACAGTTTTTCCATTAATAAGATTATGTGCTAATTAAGAGTAAGAACATTTTATGGATAAACCTGATCCATCAGATTAATTACTATTAAAATATACAAGGCTTCATTCTAAATATATCAAATGAGCCAATGTATTTAAGTCTCTCAGGCCAATGAAGTAATCATAACGTCATCACACAAAAGAGAAAGCCAAAGGGCACAAAATCTGCTGATAACCACACAACCTAACAAATGAAAGAAGGGATTTAAATCTGAGGGCTACAAGAACAGGAACTCCTAACCAGTCAACCACTACCAGGAGCAAAGAATATATTCCTATAATCCCAACACTCAAACAAAAGGCAGGAAGAAAGCTCCAGTTCAAAGGCTAGCTTGGGCTACAGAGCAAAATTTTCTTTAAAAGAAAACAAAAACCAAAAACAAAGCAACCCAGTGTCCTTGTATATGCACATGCACCAGCGAACAGTTCATCGAGTGAAGATGCCTGCTTCTTCCCACCAAGACACACTACCTTGAGCTCAGTCCTGGGACACGGACTTCTGCAGGCTGTTGCCTGACCTCCATAGTGTACAGTAGAAAGCTCATGAGCACACTCACACATACTTAGAAAAAAAAAAAATCAAACCCAGAAATATTTAAATAAAATACAAAAAACTACAAATAACAGGGCAAGTGAAGTGAAAGATTTATGCAAAAAAAAACAACTGGTGACACCCGAGCACCTTAAATGTGCACAATTAATACAACTCTTGCCTATAAATCATCTGAGTAAAAGACAACTGCTTCAACTTACATTTTTAGTTCACTACAAATACCTTCCTCAGACAACAAAGAGGGAAATTTACCAAAATAAGAAATAAAACTTGAGATTTTTTTAAATGTAAAATTAGTATCTGATATTATTTTAAAAGTGTTCATTTAAAAAGCTATCATGATCTCAATTGAAATATACTTTCAACTATGTGCTTAAGAGACTTTATAAACTACTGCCTAAAGTATAACTTATGTTTCGGGGAATTAACACACTTAACATTCTTAGTCTTGGTTCTCCTATGCAACAAAGAAGAGAACAAATTCAGAAGTCTCTTACCATTGATCTTTCAGGATATCCAAACAAATAGCCCCTGTGACGGAACTAATATTAGGATGCCATATTTTAGTGATAAACCGGACCTAGAATATAAAGCACATTTGAGTTTTTAAGCAACAAAAGATAAACAAAACAAAACAACAACAACAAAAAAAAAACCAACATGTAAAGGTAAAATAGAACTAGAAGAAAATGACATCAAGAGAAATGATATACTTTATGACAGTTTTCCAAGGAAGCATATAGAAAGCAAAGCTTTCACAGTATGTCAAGGGTAAGGGCAAAGGTCAATGACATATGTTTAATGTTTCTAACGCACATTTTACATACACACCTAACAGTTATCATATATTTACACTGTACCTAGAATTATGCTAGATGAGAAATAAAATTCAGTATCAAATCCAATAAAATAGCATGTAAAACCAAAAAGAAACATTAAATGATACCTACCCAAGTGTGAGATAAAGTGCATAACAGGCTTAAAGAGAATGGATGCATATGTACTAATGGCTTATAATGGTCCTAATTTCTCTATACAAGTTATTCTCAAACATTATTATATAATTCAGAAATATTTGAAGATCTACTATTATATGTCTAACACTAATGAAGAAAACTAAAATCAAGATAGGTGTGGTAGCTAACATCTTTAATCCTAGCACTGGGGAACCAGCAAACAGATCTGTGAGAGTTGGAGGCCAGCCTGATTTACAAAGAAAATTCATACCAGCAACGGCTACAAAAACAAAATAATAATATTAAATCACTGTATTCAATGATACCTATCTTCTCTTAATAGCTCTAAAGAATGATCACTACTGATTGGATTTGTGACAGGCCAGGCTCATTCACCTGGTAAAGATCATGCTATTAGCTTGACTTTAGACCACAGCTCAGACTTCATCCCACATTCTACTCTCTGCCTCAGTATCATATTCAAGAATTTTGTTGTTGTTTTTCTGCCTGAATTTTGTGTGCTATTTCTTTTCTCAGTAACATTTTCTATACTCTCTTCCCTGCACTAAACTCATACTTTCAGCTTCCATTATTTATCACCTCGTCCTAACCTAATCCCACAGCTTTCTCTACTTTTTCCTGTCACACAATTAACTCTACATCTTTAATCTCCAGTGTCTAAAGGACCTGACACTATTATGACAAAACTGTTATCCTAGGGATAAAACAAGAGTCTGCCCCCCCCCCTTTCTTTTTTAGTTTCTCAAGTCAGGGTCTCTCTGTAGCTTTGGAACCTGTTCTGGAACTTGCTCTGTAGACCTGGCTAGCCTCAAACTCAAAGATCTGCCAGCTTTTGCCTTCCCAATGCTGGGAAGTTGGCAACAAGAGCTCTTTTAAATACAGACAAAGTCACTAAGACATATAGGACTTATGCACAGAAACCATTTCTTTTGTCTTTCCAGACAAAGTTTCTCTGTGTAGCCCTGGCTATCCTGGAACTTGCTCTGTAGACCAGGTTGGCTTTGAACACTGAGATCTAGCCCCTGCAAGCATCGCCACGGCCCACCCACATGTGAGTGCACTTAAACTACACTTGAATGGGTCCCTGAAAAAGCTAGAAATGAATGTCAGATCACTTGGAGCTGGAGTTCGAAAAAATTGTAAGCTTCCTAAGATGCATGTCTAGAACTGATCTCAGGTCCTCTGGGAAGGCAACAAGAGCTTTAAACTAAACCATCCAGCCCTCCAGTAACAATTTCTTTGTAAGAGATAAGCACAAAAATGTACAACTTAATAATCAATATATTAAACTCATAAAGACATCAAAGAATCACTGAAATTATCAGCAATATCTCAAGGAAAGCACAGCATTCTGTAATTTTTTAATATATTTTGAGACAAAGTCTCAGTACTTATCCCTGACAGGCCTGGAACTATGTAGATCAGGCTAGCCAGGAGATCTGCTTACCTGTCTCCCCAGTACTAGGATTAAAGGTGTATTCCAGTACACCCAGCTATACTGCAATTTCTTTGTTTTTAGATTTATTTTATGTATATGAGTGTTCCGTGAACTTCATGCCAAAAGAGGGCATCAGATCCCACTATAAGACGGTTGTGAGCCACCATATTGTTTCTGGGAACTGAACTCATGACCTCTGGAAGAGCAGCCACTGTTCTCAACTGCTGAGCCATCCATCTCTCCAGTAATCTTAAAGCTCTTCAACCTTTCTATTTTGTTTTGTTGTATTTTGTTTTGTTTAGAAAATGATGACCTCAAACTCAGGATCCTCCCATCTCTGTTTCCAGTGTAAAGAAATTTTAAAGCTGTACTACACTAATATAGCTAATATAGCATTTGTAAAAACAGAATTTTAAATTATTACTAAAAATGCCAAAAAGGGTATTTTAGGCAAGTAATCTGAGGACAAGAAATCTTGTTCTTGCAGAGAGGGAGTCGGGAGCCACAGTGTTGGATGTCAAACCTAGGAACAGGGAACACTATACTGCAAAGCACTGTATCTTGTTTCTAAAGGTAAAGGAACCTTTATATTATTTATTGAAGCTATATATGTACAGAACCAAGGAATTAAAGGGACCAAGGAAATTGTTAAATTAATTCTTATACTGATGTATAATTTACTGTTACAAAAATTTTGAATATAGATGATCCAAAAAAATAATTTTATTCAAGAAGATGATTATCATCTACCTCTTCAGCATCAACAGACTAATACGCCAGCATTCCATCTCTTATTTCTTTTTTTCTTATTGTTTTAATTACCAGCTTCCTACTTTCTCACTCTGCCTTTCCTGGGCCTTATGCTTCCCCTAAGCAACCACATGCTTTTCACTCCATTGTTCTAACCACCTGGTATCCATTATATATACCAACACTTTTCCCCTTTCTTTAATTCCTGAACTGAGTTAACAGAAATTTAAAAACTTAAAAAAATAAAATAAAGTTGGCAGGGAAGAAGTAAAAACTGGGAGGTAGAAGGAGAATCATAGATATAGGTCATAATTAGTTGTGTAGAGTTCTAGGCCTATCTGGACTGAGACTCTGAAAAAACAAAATCATAGGCCATGTGCTAGGGCACATGCTTTAATTCAGAACCCTTGGAAGGCAGAGACAGGTGGACTGCTGAGAAGTCTGGGCAAGTGTACTAAGTTACTAAGTTTCAGGCCAGCCAGAGATAACATAGTAAAACTGTGTCTCAGCCGCTGATGGCGGCACATGGCTTTAATCCCAGCACTTTGGCGGCAGAGGCAGGCAGATCTCAGTGAGTTCGAGGCCAGCCTGGTCTACAAAGTGAGTTTCAGGATAGTCAGAGCTGCTACACAGAGAAACTTGTCTAAAATAAAAAATAAAAGTTAAAAAAGAAAGAAAAGAAAAAAAGAAATTCAAAACTTACTAGCTATAGTGAGTGTTCAACTGCTACACAAAAATCTGATATTGTATAGAGAAAAAAATTGTTACATAACAAAAGATATTACTTAATCAGTTATATTAGCAACAATTATTCTCTCTTCCTGTGATCTCCATTTCTGTCACTCTTTACGTCAACAAATATCACATCTCCTCCTCCATGTTAGACACAAGTTCACAATTCCATCATTAACTCTAATGAAAAACTTACAGATGCTATATTTGTTCCATAATAGAAAATACTTCACTCAAAGAAAAGACTGTATTATTTAAATAAAAAAAGCAGACCTGCTCCTTAAGGATTGGTATTGGTGGGATGGAGAGATGGTTCAGTGATTAAGAGCACTGATTGTTCTTCCAGAGGACCCAGATTCAAGTCCCAGTACCTACATGGCAGCTCGCAACTGTCTATAACTCCAGTTCTAGGGGATTGGACAACCTCGCACAAACAGTGGGATACCAATGTACATTAAATAAAAATAATTTTTTTTAAAAAAATTACAAAATAATAAAGAAAAGATAGGTATAGGTATTTAATACTCAATTTCAGAGCTGAAGAAATGGCTCAGTGGTTAACAGAACTGGTCATTTTTCTAGAGGACTGGGGTTCAATTTCAAGCAACCAGATGTTTCTTTTAAAAAAAAAAATAAACTGATTTAAAGAGTCAAAAAGGTGCAGATCTTTACTGTCTTACTTTAATGTAGAAGGATGTTGTGCATACATTTATGTCTGTGCACCATGTATATGCCTGATGTCCAGAAGCCCAAAGGAAGGCACTGGATACTGTAGAACTGGAAGAACAAATGACCATTGCTGTGGGATAATGAACTGTACCCTGTCAATTGTATTTTAATAACATGCTGATTGGCTAGTAGCCAGGCAGGAAGTAGAGATGGGGCAGACAGGAAGTGGAGGTGGGGCTAGAATTCTGGGAAGAGGAAACAGTCAGTCAGTCTACAGTCGTCATCCAGTTGCAGAAGCAAGATGTGACTGCCTTGCGAAAAAAGGTGCCAAGCCACGTGACTAACACAGACAAGAATTATGGGCTAATATAAGTTATGAGTTAATAAGAAGCCTGATATACTAGGCCAATCTATTTATGATTAATGTAGACCTCTGTGTGTTTATTTGGGCTGAAGACTGCGGGACCGGAGGGACAGAAACCTTGATCAACAGAACATGACCCTATGTGGGTTCTGTGACTCAACCAGTGCTCTCCAACTCCTGGGGATACACAGCACTCTTCTGGCTTCCAAGGGCACTGCATGCATGTGCTGCACATACAAATATGCAGACAAAAGCATACACATAAAATAAAAAAAATACTATTTCATGTATTAAACAGCTTCATTGGCTAGTCCAGTATTGAGCTGCCCATACTAACTGGGAGTTCAAACAACTATATCCCCAGCCTATCAGCATCTAATTCTAAATTATTTTTATTAACTCAAGAAGAAACCCTGGGTAAAAAGCATTTGCCTAGTAGACACAAGGCCCCATGTTCAACCTGAACATAACAAAAATAGAAAAGGAAAAAAAAAAAAACCTGAAAGGGCTAAGGACATGAGCCAGTGAGAAAAAGCAACTGATACATAAACCTGAAGACTTG